TTTGTGTCTGGCGCGTTGCTTTCAATAGACATTAATGAGTGTTAATATAGACAGTTCAAATATTTAGTTTATGAGCTATGCAGCTATTTCCACAAAAGTGCTTTCAATACGAGGAGATCAGTATGCAAGCGACTGAGTGAGTGAGTTCGGTTCAACGCCAACTTTTATATCATCGTGTTTGCTTGATACGTGTTCAAAGTTAGAGGCAGAGGTTCATTCCCATACCCAGAATTAAATGTGGAGCGAAGTTCATAATAAATGTACTAACTATTATTTTTCCACATGTTATACTGTTTTCAGTGATTTTGTTGCTACTTGGAATGGATGAATGAGTTGGGTTGAACGTCAGCTGTTGCTCTACTCGGACGTTAAGCAATCCAAGCACATGATGCTAGTGATTCGATGATTAATAGGGTGTGATCAAGGTCACACATTCCATTAGAAATATTTTAAATATTGGATCGTTGCGAAAAAACGAAATAAAAAGATCATCTTCAGTGAAAAATTTCAACAGTGGTTCGAGACAGACAGAGTGTAAATATTCGAGCTATGAGCAGACATGGATTAACATCACACATAAACTAACTACCATTAGTTGATATATAATCCTAAACGATATACATGTATATCGAACTAAAAGCATTCGGGTTTCACGTTATGAGCTACATGGCACGTGTTCTACTTTGGCCACCTGACGGTTCCATGGTTCCAGTAGCTATGTCTGGGGAATCGGTAGAGGTGATAAGACTACTTGAGAAGGCGTTACCCTACACTCTGAGTATGGTGTGTCGATAGATCCCCTCGAACACCAAGCGTCTGCTTGCAGAGCGACCTATGGAAGTGTGTTCACAGACAACACAGAAACTGTCTGGTGATGGAACAACAGTTAGCTCCTTATCAAAGATGTTTTGAAAATGTCAAGCAGTCAGGTAGCCTGTATTTATGTTGTTTTCCTAAACATTCAGAGAAAGTAGCTGCTGTTGAAGACAGTTGTCGAAGATGCTGTCTCAAATAATCTTTGATGAACATTACACCCCATAAATTCAATCAACAACTACTTCAGAGAGGGTCCTCTGTTTGACAATATTCAAAACTGCTATTCGATTAACCATGCTCAGTTTGGACATAAGAAGATTTCAAATAAACACTGTTTTATCTCCGATGTGACAGAGAAATTACACACAATGAAACATGCTATGTGCCCGTTATTACTTGTTAACAGTAGGTAAGGTTATATAACCGTCCGTAATAACACATGTCCGGATTAAAGAGAGTGTAAGTGAGTATGGGAATCGAACCCGACCTTCGGCGTGCCAAGCGAAAGCCTTTGCCACTGAGCTACCAAACCGCCCCTCCGGATAATAGAAGCAGAGAGTAGAGATCAATGTTTATGTTAATTATTTATAGAGGAAGTGTGGTAACCTGGTGGTAAAGGCGTTTAAATTGCTCTTCAGTCCGAAGACTAAGTGAGTGAGTGAGTTTGGTTTTACGCCGCTTTTAGCAATATTCCAGCAATATCACGGTGGGGGACACCAGAAATGGGCTTAACACATTGTACCCATGTGGGGAATCGAACCCGGGTCTTCGGCGTGACGAGCGAACGCCTTAACCACTAGGCTACCCCACCGCCCCTTCAGGCCGAAGACCAGGGTCCGATTCACTATGTTGGTACAAAGTGTGAAGCCCATTTCTGGTGTCCCCCGAAGTGATATTGCTGGAATATTGTTGTTGGAATATTGTTAAAAACTTCAACACTCACTCATTCATGTTTATATGCATATCAGTAATCGTCTCGTAGGAATTTTCCTTGGCGAGAGGCGTTTCAGTACCTTTGCATAAAGGTCGTCAGTGTTTGGAGACTCGTCTATCTAGGATCTTAATCAAATGAAAAAGACATCTTCACAAAGGTCTATCATCAAGAATATATATAAAATAATATTAATAATGAACGGTTGATATACTTGTCTAATATATGCAACTCTCAATCGATTCCAAGCAAATAAATCAATCTTTAGGGCTCCGTTCCAAAAAACCATCTTAGCACTAGGGTGGACATAACTCCCACCCTTTGACAGGCACGATGGCTTCTCGGAACGTAGACTAAAGGTTAGTTCCTGAATATATATAATATTGAGAGTAACAAATAAACCCATTGAAATGAAAATGAGCCCCAGTGAGAAATCTAGACTTGCTTCATTTAGGGTTTTAGCATTGCAAGGAAGGCTAGGCAGTAGGGAAAATTTTGTGGTTCAGGGGCCGTGAGACAGACTACTAGGAACGGTGCCCTGGTCCTTTCGAAACCCTTCTAGCAACAAGGCTGACGTAAGTTAGTACTGAGGTCATCAAATACGAATGGTGGCTGCCGTCACAGCGTGAACTGTTCACTAGGACTAGAGTATGAGTATACTAACATAACATCAGTTACGGAGAAGCTTTGATAAACCGGGCTAGGGTACTGAGCGCCTGTCACCACTGCCTAATGAAGCTGAAAAGCCTCGTGTGGGCTTATCATCGTTCCAACCCGTCACAAGCAGACATACACATCAAAATGGCTTTCTTTTATGACAGTGCCTACGCTTGCAAAAGTAAAGTCCTTTAACGTTCATTTACCTTCCCACTTTCCCACTGCAGTGCATCTCAATATCATTACCATACAATGCAAGCTATGTTGGTTAAAAGTCCCCACCAGTGATATATGTAACGTTAAAAGAAACGTGCATCTGCTGCAATAATCATATACGGAATGAGGTATACGTTAGACGGCACCAAGCACCAGCACTTCACGTTATCTCTGCAACACACTAGCAGATACATTTCATTGTTGGCATGGCTCCAGTCAAGATTTCCCTGAAGATTCCAAACCCAAGGCCACTGTACAGAAGAGACACACCTATCACCTTCCTGCTCCAATGTACTGCTATACACAGACGGAAAACCGTTCCCCTAATTACACCACTATTCATCATCTTCCAGATGTATCGGGTTCAAAGGTGCACCTTCTATCCTGATATTTCCCAATGACACAATGTGGTTGCCTCATTATTTTCCCGAACGCTTCACAGGTTGGCTAAAGGGCTGTTATACAGGTATTGAGAAACGTACCACAATCCTCCGAGCAAAAGGAATTTGCATTTACAATACCCCTGTTTCTTATGTAACCATGATGTATGCTTTAAGTAAATATTTGTGTTATGTCATAAGATACTGAACGATGTTTGGATTTCTTTGTGGTTCCTTTTGCCATACGCCATGTTCGCATTTGGTGATTGTATCGCCATCGGGTACAATGCACAATGTAAACGTGCCTGTGGTTTAAATAAACAAGCATTTACAATCACGTTTATATTTTGACATCGTGTCATTTGATAAGATTATATATCTAGAAGTTCAAATAACAGTTCTGTAGCTCTATCAAGTACATGGGTTCAGGCTATGTTTTCTATGATAATAAGCAACATGTTCCGGTAATTTTTATTTCACAGAATAATCTTAGACTGAGTTTTATTCTCTCCACAATGCAAGGCTTGTTCAAACGGTCCACAAAGACTCCTTCTGAAACCCGAATCAGTGCGTAGTGTCTGAAACTATATATCTCTGGAGAGCTACTATATCTATACTGAAGAGGTGAGAAAGACGGACTCTTCCCCTGTGGGACGTACTTAAAGGGTTAAAACATTAAAATAAGAGCTAGTTGAAAGGTACTGTGAGACTAACTGTAATTGCTCGTAATTACTCAGGGACTGTGAGACTAACTGTAATTACTTGATCTTTGTCGGTTCTTGTGACAAACGGTTACTAGAACCAGGGACCCAAAAATAATATTATTAATATTAATTATATGGTTTCTGCTATAGGACGTATAATTCTGGGACTCTTAGGAAACTATAACGAAGACCCATGCTCCTTACTCAGTTTTACATAACTAACAGATAACCCTTCCGAAACCATGCTACCGAAATCAAATGATTACTCCTCTCTGTGTAGAATTGCTTTTTCTTAGATTGTAACGTTAACGTTGGCTCCTATTTAGGAATTCTTTCGTCCTAAACTTATGTATTTCTCTCTCATACAAAATTACCTGCTGATTATACTTATTCTGACCTTCAACACCAAGATGCAGCAAGTGTTTACAGTTTACAGAGCCATATTTGCCCAACTATAGCATGTAGCCTTGAACATGATCTTGTTTGCTGTTAACAGTGTTAATATTGGTACATACAAAATCACCTGCTAATTATACTTATTCTGACCTTCATCGCCAAGATGCAGCAAGTGTTTTCAGAGCCATATTTGCCCAACTATAGCGAGTAGCCTTGAACATGATCTTGTTCGCAGTTTACAGTGTTGATATTGATACATACAAAATCACCTGCTATCTATACTTATTCTGACCTTCGTCACTAAGATGCAGCGAGAGTTTACAGAGCCATATTTGTCCAACTATAGCGAGTAGCCTTGAACATGATCTTGTTCGCAGTTTACAGTGTTGATATTGATACATACAAAATCACCTGTTATCTATACTTATTCTGACCTTCGTCACTAAGATGCAGCGAGAGTTTACAGAGCCATATTTGTCCAACTATAGCGAGTAGCCTTGAACATGATCTTGTTCGCAGTTTACAGTGTTGATATTGATACATACAAAATCACCTGTTATCTATACTTATTCTGACCTTCGTCACTAAGATGCAGCGAGAGTTTACAGAGCCATATTTGTCCAACTATAGCAAGTAATCCTGAACATGATCTTGTTCTCAGTTCACAGTGTTGACACTGATACATGTCATGGCATTCTGTTCGTGCCTTTACAGATGGTTCCGGAGTAGGTCATTAACTAAGGACATTAACAGCATGTATATTAGCATTTCCAGCGCTCTGGTCAGAATGGCCACATATCCAGCAGTGTTTGGGGAACCCAATAGCCCACGTGTCAGTTCACACCAAGAATAACAGGGGTCCTTAGTTCAGGGGTGATTTACTTGAGTTACAAGACTTACCTTTTACGGTGTCACCATTACAGGTCATCTGGACCTCGTGTTTCCCCTCCGCCTGAGGCTTGTACTGAACACAAATGGTCCCATCGTTGTTGTCCTGGACAACGGGTCCTTGTGTCTGCTCCGGCATGGCTAGCTGAAACCCAGCATGAACTTCTTGAAATAATAGTAATAATAGTGATGGCGATGATGAAGACGATGGTGATGGTGATTACAATAACGACAATGATGAGGATTATAACAATAACATATATGAAGAAAATGTGAAAGAAGGACGATGACGGCGATAGCGTGTTAAGAAAGCATCATCTTAATGATGGTGTTTTGTATTAATCAGAAGACTTGCTGTGTATACGTGTGTGTGTGTGCGTGCGTGCGTGCGTGCGTGCGTGCGTGCGTGCGCGCGCGCTTGCGAACTAATGACAGTTGTACAGTGTTAACCTAACCTCCTGACACCAAGCCGACCAGCTATCCCCTAATGCTGGTAGGTATCAATTAGCACCATCTTTAATACTAGTAGTTATTATTTACTCAGGGATCGCACCATCGACCTTCTCCGTGCAGACATTCTATCTACCAGGAAGAGGACAGGGAGCCAGTCAGTGGAGTTGGACATGATTTGGTGTGACTGGAGGGCAGGGCTACTTTAAATCTATGATTAAGCACACTACAGAAAATAACACCTTCACCCAATAAGAATTTACTGCCAGACAGTAAATGAAAAAAATCATCATAATGCCAGACAGTTGATGAAAAAGTCAACGTAAAGGAGAATAAACAGTAGACATTCATGCCTATAGAGTCATCTGCTCAATGACCTTCTCCAAGCTGAAAATGTCACAGTGACATAGGAGAGTGCATTTATACTCAGGCCAGAGACCATGCACTGGTGTATGATGACTGCTCAAGCCAGAAAGCACGCACTGGTGTATGATGACTGCTCAAACCAGAAAGCACGCACTGGTGTATGATGACTGCTCAAGCCAGAGACCATGCACTGGTGTATGATGACTGCTCAAACCAGAAAGCACGCACTGGTGTATGATGACTGCTCAAGCCAGAGACCATGCACTGGTGTATGATGACTGCTCAGGCCAAGACCATGCACTGGTGTATGATGACTGCTCAAACCAGCACTGGGTGTATGATGACTGCTCAAGCCAGAGACCATGCACTGGTGTATGATGACTGCTCAATCCAGAAAGCGCGCACTGGTGTATGATGACTGCTCAAACCAGAGACCATGCACTGGTGTATGATGACTGCTCAAACCAGAAAGCACGCACTGGTGTATGATGACTGCTCAAGCCAGAGACCATGCACTGGTGTATGATGACTGCTCAAACCAGAAAGCACGCACTGGTGTATGATGACTGCTCAAGCCAGAGACCATGCACTGGTGTATGATGACTGCTCAAACCAGAAAGCACGCACTGGTGTATGATGACTGCTCAGGCCAGAGACCATGCACTGGTGTATGATGACTGCTCAATCCAGAAAGCGCGCACTGGTGTATGATGACTGCTCAGGCCAGAGACCATGCACTGGTGTATGATGACTGCTCAAACCAGAAAGCACGCACTGGTGTATGATGACTGCTCAAGCCAGAGACCATGCACTGGTGTATGATGACTGCTCCAAACCAGAAAGCACGCACTGGTGTATGATGACTGCTCAAGCCATAGACCATGCACTGGTGTTTGATGACTGTTCAAGCCAGGGACCATGCACTGGTGTATGATGACTGCTCACACCAGAAAGCACGCTCTGATGAAAATGTTAGCATGTCTTCATAGTAAGGTAGAACGCCATAATACGTGAATACCATACACAAGAGGTATTTTACTTTGGTCGATAGGGTTGAGTCATTAAGAAGCAGGTTGTAGGCATAAAGTAAATATCAATAATGTGTCAGAGAAATTAGTCTGGCGAGGAAGTGCAACACAAAATTACCAAGCCTATTTCAGGAGTAAGTATCAGTTTACACAGGCGCACGCATTAAACTTTTTTAAATATTACGAGTTTTGAATGTTATCACATATTCTGGTGGTTACATGGTGTAGGTTGCTAGGGTATTAGATGTCAGCTGCTGTCGGAACGGCCAGTCGACGGTTGCAGCAGTAGTCAAGAAGGAATGCATGGTTCGGCTGATAGATGGTCAGTCGTGGACAGCTGGTAGTTAGCTGGACGTTATGTATGACCGGTGGAATGTTCAGTGGCAATTTGGAGTGGGTTGATTGGAAATGGATATAAGGAATGAGTGTAGGTTTGGTGTAGGGAGGGATGTGAAAAGAACAGAATAGAACGGAATCTACATACAAAACGTAACCCACAAATACATACATTTCTACAAAATAAAATTGTTAAGAATACTTTACTTGAGCATAAATGCAAACAACACATTTCCTTTCCTTAAAGTGAACATTTCAGAGATAGTTTTTGCAACTCCGACTACACATTCTTCTGAGGATCCATTGTGGATTTTAGAAGGGCTCTTTTGTCATGTAATTCCGGGCTGTGAGTCTCTTGTGTTGATTATGATATGTTTATTATTATAAAAATAGCACGTCTGCAAAAAGATTCATTCCCCGGTCGGTTGAATCAGGAGCCTGCACATTCACAAATCTCCCTATTTCAATTGCAATTGAGTGTAGTTTCATGATGTAATGTGTGGTGAGATGGTTTGATTGTATAATGATGTTGTTGTGATAGCGTTTGATAGCGTTGAGAGATACGATGAGGTTTCACGATGTAATGTGTTGTGAGAGGGTTTGATTGTATAATGATGTTGTTGTGAGAAAGTTTGATAGCTTTGAGAGATATGATGAGGTTTCACGATGTAATGTGTTACGGGGTGTTTGATTATATGACGTGTTGTTGTGAGAAAGTGTGATAGCGTTGACAGATGCGATGATGTTTCATAATGTAATATGTGGTGGGAGGGTTTGATTGTATACTGTGTTGTTGGGATAGCGTTTGATAGCGTTGAGAGAAATGATGAGATTTCAAGATGTAATGTCTTGTGAGGGGGTTTGATAGTGTTGAGAGTTGGTTTTTGATGATGTAATGCTGGGAGACAGTTTAAATGTATTGAGTGATATGAGATGGTTTGGTGATGTAATGTGTTGTGAGAGTGTTAGATGGTGAAATGTGATGCTGTGACCTGGTTTCACAGTGACCATACGCCATCGGTATATGTTCTCTGGGCTTCACGACGTTCTGTGTTGTTGTGAGAGTGTTTGATGGTGTTGAGTGATGTGAGGTGGTTGATGAAGTTCTTTCAACTCATGGAAGCCGCTGTGTTGGGAAATATTAAGATGTGGTTTGATGGGCCTTGGTTAAATATTGTGACCTAATAGTCCCATGTGGTTCATTATGTTGCGTAGAGTGGGGGGAAGGTGTGGGTGTGGGTGGATTTGGGTTTTGTTTGTTTGTTTGTGTGTTTTTTTGGGGGGGTGTTGAGGTTTTTTTTGTGGCAAACTAAAAGGTAGCTTAGTTTTGTGATATACTAGGAACGATGTTATGTTGACATGTAAACCGATACTGTCTTATCATATTGTGAGGGGATTTGCCGCCATTATGTGAGGTGGTTCAGAAGGTGTTAAGGCAGTTATGAGGTGGTTCTGAAGGGAATGTGGGACAATTGTGAGGTTCTTGTGAGGTAGATTTCACGGGTATGATTTTGAGGTGGTTGTAGGTTGTAGGATGGTCGTTGTGGATAGTTGTTGTTGGTTGGCAGATTGTTTACTGTGATGGCCGTGGATTAGCATGTATGACTAAGATTCTGTCAGATATTTGTTTTGATTTTTGATGGTTGTCAGGTGGTTGTAACGTGACTGAATATGAGATAATCTGCTGTCTGGCTGTGTCTTAGGAGATTGTTTACTTGACAGTTGTGAGATGTTTGAAAAGTTGTTTACCAAGATTGTTGTGGATTGACATGTATGACCGTGAGACTGACTCCGATGTTTTTCGGATGATTGTAAGATCAATGGATGTGAGGTATTCTACTGGCTGTGTGGATGGCTTGGGGTGGTTTATTTGAAAGTTTCGATGTGGCGGATAGGTTAACGCTGAAGGGGTCGTTGTCGGCACGGGCACTACAGATATGTACCCCGGGTACGTTTCTGTATACAGACATGTACCCTAAACAAAATCAGAATACAGAAACGTACCCTAGGACGATTCCATTCTGCATTTTGCCGTTTTCTTGATCAAAACTGTCATACTGTTGTATTAGATGCATTTGATTCCGTTATATAAGAGCATACACAGTACCGAATATTTCCCGGTGCACAACGTACACCACTCGCAATCAGCTTAACGGGAATAACTACATACGGTTTCGGTATTTGGTTGCTGAATATGGACTCGTCCGTCGTTTAGGGTATGGGGTACGTTTCTGTAGTTTGACTTTGTTAATGGTACATATCTGTATACAGAAACGTACCTGGGGTACATATCTGTTGTACCTGTGCCGACAACGACCCCTTCAGCGTTATTAACTGTGCAGGGCTCTGTCGGATAGTATTTCCGATGATTTTAAGTTAGGTGGTGTCATGGTGTATTGTTGATAAGTTGTTCTGATGTAGTTTTGAGTGTGCAGTGTAGTGAGATCTTAGTTTCGTTGTGAAGCATTATGGAGTTGATGGTGGATTTGATTGTGGAGGGATGGACGTCGAATCAGTATGAACATTAATTGTGTTATAAAACTATATTTTCATGAATTGTCCTTCACTGCATGCTGTGTTAACAGCAATAGCTCATGGGTGATTTAAATTTGTCATCCTGGAAGGATTTATCATCGGAGCAACTGCCAGGTAGGGATAAACATCACTCCACGTTACAAAGTAACTATCTGACACTACCGCGAGCAATATCGCAGTTAAGCAGATAAAAATCTCTCATGTTACTCCGAGTATTCAAGTTAATTATACCCCCACAGCAGGATATAAACTCTTCGTCGGCTGATAACATTCCGACTGCCTTCATATGTTGCACAATAACCCCTTTCATCAACCTTTACCGAAGGTGCTCGATAAACTTCACACAGAGAAGTGACGCAATGCACAGAGTAAAGGCACCAGTAGCCAGAGTAATCAGCCAGTGAGTAATTAATCTTATTGGACGCGTCTAACCCTAACGACCACGCTTGTCTGTTACTGCTGTGAGTTCTGGCTCCATAAGTGCCACTGCAAACTATGAGGATAATATATCAAGCCACGTTAGGCCGTCCTGTAGGTATGGACACGACCCTGACCTTCAAAGTGCACTGATTTACGTCAAAGAAAGATATGATATTACATTGCAGGAACATACATAGACTAGCGCAACAGACTGGGGTCCTTCGCTTATCTAGACTTGCCTGTTCGAAGGATAGAATTACGATACATCCATGGGCTCAGCGTTCAGCCCAGTCTTGGAGCAAGGCTAGACCATACAGAGCATACACTCACGGCCAAAATTAAGTTAACACTTGAAAATGGGATTTGACAAAATAATTCCAATGTGGTCAAAACGTTATAACAGTCGCCGAAACACTGCAAATCAAACGGTCCAAAACACAACTATTGTACTCCCATCAAACAGATCAGGATAGTCTGTCTCACAGTCCATGAACCACACTATTTTTCCTCAGCCTAGCCTTCCCTGCAGTGCTAAAGCCCTAAATGAAGTCCAGATTACCTCTAAATCTCTGGTCTCCCTGGGGCTCCTTTTCAATTTATATGGGTTTATTTGTTACAAACAAAATTATATATATCTAGAGACTAAGCGTCAGTCTAAGATCAGGGTAGAATATCCAGTTCTTATCTGTTTCATTTTCATCTTCCACCTAATGATGGTTCCTACTTTCCTTAAAGAAGAATCTGTTTCACGACAGAAAGTTTGATGGTTCACAATTATCACGTGAAGTATCTTTAGCGTGAAAAATATACAAGGACATTTACTTTGAAGGAGACGCAATCGGTTTAGAGAGTGTCAGATATGTCCAATACTATTTCTGCGATTTTACTTCTTGTACCGGTTTTGGTTGAGTCCTATCCGGGGTTCGAACCAACAATCCTCAGGATCAGGCGCGCAAATTCAGTTACCTAACCAACGACAACGTGGGTTTAGTGTTATGCTGCTTTTAGCAATATTCAAGCAATATCACGGCGGGGGACACCAGAAATGGGCTCCACACATAGTATTCATGTGGGGATTCGAACCCGGTTCCTCAGCGTGACCAGCGAACGCTTTAAGCACTAAGTTAGCCCCCGCGCCCCCGCAGTAGTTCCCTGTTATGAAGTGTTAATGGTTTACTTCCAAACCATTTCATTTATTCGAAAAAAAAGGGATAATTTTATTAATAATTCTACGAGAAACGGGATAACGCCAAAAGGTTTAAATCTATCAATTTGATAATAAACACTTTGCTAGTCCTAGACTGAAGTGAGCGACACGTGTCTCTTGTGAACCCAAACTATGTATGCGTTGCAGTGCAGGTTACCAAATGACGGCAGGCTCGGGTCGGGTTCCATTTAAACGGTCTACCAGGAACAGCTCGAAAACAAACTCTGGATGAATTTACAACCACTGATTACAGTCTAATGCTGTGTCTATTTCCCATCCCTAAATCGGACTTATCACTGAAAATGCTATATGTTGACAGAATTCAGCGTTGATAGGTGCTATATGATCAGGGGAGTGGTAGCAAGCATGTGTATAAATGCACTATGTCGAGCAACCTGGATCCATATATGGTCATCCATCTCTCACTCCTATCAACATCCGCGGAAGAAAGTTCCTGATACAAGATACCTTCATGGAATATGCCATGTATAAACTTATTCATTTCCAAGATCATTTGGGTGGCATTTGGAACAGAGTTACTTTCGTCGAATGGAATCGTGCTATTTGATATGTGAGAATGCGCTGGTGATTAGTTCTTCAGATGTTTGGCGCAGGGATACCAGGAAACAAGTTCAGACGCTACCTTCAAGGAACACGATACTAATTGCTTCATTTCAACCGAAGAAGAGTTCCAACAACTACCGCTTGGTCCAAATAACCTTGCGGCTAAAAAGATGACAATAAAGTGTTTCAAACAAACTTCCCTTGACAAAAATACAAATTAACACTGATAAGACCATTCAACCTAATAGTTGAACACTAATCCGAGATTCATATTATGGGCATGTTTATTACAGTCTAGAATGCAATATAAACACATCAAATAAACATATACGAGCCAGATCGTATATTAAATAGACACTTTAGAGAGAAACAAATCTACAAAGATAAGTTATATTGAAACAGGTTTTTTTCTGAAACGGCCAAGTGTATATTTCGTGTATCTTCCAGTCACTGCGCTGTCAATTCGTCAAGATTTTAACAAAAGTGTCAAGATGTGTCTTTTGACGTTTTTATGACGCCAACTTGAGGCAAGGTCACCCTGGAAGGCCACGCGAGGCGTTAAGTTCAAGGTTAACATCGTGTCATATTCATTAACACAAAACATATCATTGCCTATATAGTAAGCTGTAAGTGAGGCGTTGTCTCATATAGACTATCTCCTACCGAGGGAAACGTCATACTAAGAGTGAAGGAGCCAGTTGGAGATGGTGAGCTTTGCACCGAAATATACCTTTCAATAAAAGGAAGCGACAAAACATCTACATGCACTTTTACTTATGATTTAAGCACATTATGAAAACAAGCACATCCAAGTCTCCATTAACAAGATTCGCTGGAAAACATCTTCAAGTTAATAATGGATTTGAACGCATGTGTTTAATAAAGTGAATTAAAATAGATCAATTAAATTCATTAAAACATCAAAATGATTAAATAAGTTAAACGTATTAAGTAAGTTAGGTATTAGGATGGTAGAAGGTCTTACCAACAAGGTAGGGTTTTGTATAGAATCCCACTGAGCGTGTGTCCTGCCCGATGCTTTGAGGAGTATCTTCTGTCTTGTCGACACAGCACACAGACAAGCCGTATTCCAGCGGGTTTATAAATAGGGTCGGTGTTTCTGTGGATGTGCAGCACGGCAAGTTTGCCTCACCACGAAATCCCAAAGTAATGAAAACAATTACTACAATCTGATCTGATGCAAGACTATAACCTCCGAGTTGACCGTTAGGTGCAAGCAGCGGGAATGGCACGACTCTCCGTTTTGGAAAGTTTAATGTCTTTAAACGTATTCTGTTTCCATGGAAACAAGTTTGTTATCACTATACTGATGATGAAGCAGTTGCAGAGCAGTCAAGCTAGACACTTGGTATTTATAGTGAAGATGGGTCTGGTTGAGTGTGTAATTTAATGCACGTGATATTGGGCACAGCGGGTGACCATTGGTCACATGTTGAGCAACGGTCCTTTACATATAAGGTATGATGCAAATCCCGCTGCTTACATCATCATGGACTTATGCTTAGTCTATGAATATATATAATTTTGATAATAACAAACAAGCCCATTTAAATTGAAAAGGAGCCCTAGAAGGACCAGAGATCCTGAACCTGAGGAAATCTAGACTTGCTTTATTTAGGGCTTTAGCACTGCAGAGAGGGCTTGGCAGTAGGGAAAATAATGTGGTTCAGGGACACAGACTAACATCATCATCGTGCCACGTATTTTGGCTTAACGTATTGTAACGAATGTAACATGTAATTTAATTACATTTAATAACATATCTCATGTAAGTGTCATGCTTTTCAATATCAACCAAATGTAGAATTAAATGATATAATTTAAATAATGAAAATACACCAATAACCATTATTGATCGGAGTTTAAACAATACAGTTTTGTATTAACAGTTTTGTGTGAATAATATTGTCTAACCCAATACAACAGCGTTTAATATTAGGGCATGAGATGCGTTTTTAAGGTAACATAGACTTAACCCGGTAACATTATTACATAAAACATCATTTTCGTTTATGTATTTTTTTATAACTAAAAACATTGCAGCTGACCATTAAAATATATTGTTATTGTTTTGCACATTTAACAACAATTTGTCATTACCTGCTTAGAGTGAATTTAATTTGAACGTACTATAACATGACTTATTATAAAGTCTAAACATATTTTTGGAAAACAGAACGTGGGTTATGACAGAGCATATTTCATTGCATAATTCATATGGTAAGTTAGAGTGAGTGAGTGAGTTTAGTTTTACGCCGCACCCAGCAATATTCCAGCTTTATGGCGGCGGTCTGTAAATAATCGAGTCTGGACCAAACAATCCAGTGATCAACAGCATGAGCATCGACCTGCGCAATTGGGAACCGATGACATGTGTCAACCAAATCAGCGAGCCTGTCCACCCGATCCCGTTAGTCGCCTCTTACGACAAGCATGGGCTACTGAAGGTTCACGGGTTGGTAAGTTAGAACGGTACGGTTGTATTCATATATACATGATGCCTTCCGGTTGTGACGAATAACTTATGTTTCAGTTAAGGGGCCAATAAATCTGAAGATGTGTTTTCACTGTGAATGGAAGTTGATTAAATGGGTGTTAGATACCATGCTTTATAGTTTTCTGGTGCGTATTCAGAGATTCTACTGAAGAAATAAACATTTACACCTGCTTCTCTAGTGGCGTTTATTCGTATAAATGTACGTTTTAAAGGTTATACCTAGTTATGAATGTATCGCCGGCATTTATGGGACATCAGAATGCTGAACAGAAAATGGCAAGATAAAATCGCACTTTCTACATATGTAATGGTTATTACGATAGGGGCTTTCAGTTCTGTTTATATACTGACGAAATTATATTACGGAAAGAATATTTGATAAATGTTGCGCTTGGAAAGCATTGTTCTGGCACGATTTTAGCATGTGACTTTTTAGAAGTATTGAACATTAATATTTCATTGTTGAAAAAGACGTTAAAGGGATAAATAGATCGTAGTTCTATATGCTAATTTGTTTCTTGTAGTCGCTTTCTTTTTATTTCCATTGATCTCAAAGATGAGAGACTGAAAGGAATTCTTTGATCCGATGAAACTTAAACCACTATTTTAGAAGAATTGGAATTTCGGGTATGAAACTTGATCACTGTACTGTCAGTACCAATTATCGTAATCGGCGGCTATCTAATTCCAGACTGTCTGAACGCATGTTCTTATAGCCAGCCAGTCGGTGTCTAGACTATTGGGGTTCCGGCGGTCCCAAGACGCTATCAGGACGGCTGCTCTCTTCATCCGTGGAGGATGTTGCTGCTGCATGAGCGAACCATGGCACGCCTCATGGTGCTGAAGATGTCGATGGTGTTGCCGGTGACAGCAGGGGCTGATCTGGTTCAGTGCAAGGCCACCACGGATGAGTAAGCACACCCCTCCCCAACGTCCAGCTCCATCCCCGGGCTCCCAATAGCTTTGGATCTTAATACTGATACTGTCAGCTTCTTAAACTGACGCTAAGTATATTCGTTGAAGAAAGGAATAACTGTACATTAAATTAACAGGAGTAGCAGTGAGCTGGGAGGTTGAGAACCTATGCAAAATCTATACATTGCAACACCTGGTTGGAAAGGGAGATGTTTGGTTCATGGACTGCGAGGCTGACTAATTGTAATCAGCCAATATTTTTTTTGTTCTTGTGACAGGCAATCAAAGTCAAAGTCAAAAGATGTTTATTGTATGAAAGGCCTCCGGCCCATATACATGAGAGTTACAGTGATAAAGGAATATTCTGGATATTTACATATATATTTAAGGGTATACAATTCGCTTTATAAGAAGATCTCTTTTAGCTAATGCATATTTTATATATAAGGACAATTGAGCAAGAATATTTTCATTATTGGTTTGTAACAAAGATATATATGCATAATGGGGCTGCTTTGCAAGAAGATGGTGCGGTATATATTTCTGTCTTAATTCGTGATAACAAGGACATATCAGGGTAAAATGAATTTCATTTTCTATTCCAACGTTACATAAAGGACAATATCGACGTTCTTTCTGGACAGAGGTTTTTCTACCCTCATTAATCATTAAAGATAACAAACCTAAACGATACTTTACGAACATTGTTCTTAAACTATATGTTGTAATTATTGATAAGTATTTTTCTGGCTGGAGTAACGTTTTAAAGGTCCTGTAATATTCATATCGTGAGCTTGAATCTAGGGTGGATTTCCATTCTTGATTGAACATATCTATTGATCTAACACGAAATTCATTAATAAACCAGTTCACATCGCCAATTGTTTGGCTCAACCATACGAAACCGAAACCGTGAGAAAATAATAAATTTCTGATATCAGTTACCCAAGTGTGTTTTCCCAAATTATCCAGATTTAAAAGCATATTGTAAGCTAATTTTGGCAGACGTTGTTCGTGCATATTTAGAACCTTAAACCAATATTTTAAACATCTTATGTGAGAATTGATATACAAAGGAAATCTGCCACATTCGCCATATACCATGCAGTTAGGTGTCTTTGAGCTTACATTGAGGTACTTTTACAGGCTAAAAGATGCACTCTCTCAATACAATCAAAACGCTGAAAACCCCATATTTCAGATCCATATAATAAAATGGGTTGAATCTGAGAATTAAATATCTTAAAAAACACATTGGGTGACATAGTTCCAACTTTGTATAAAACCGATAAAACTTGTATTAAAGCCTTTTTCCACGTAAAGTTAAGTTATGTGCACATTTATTCAAGTTCATTCTGTTTGAAAACAAAAACCCTAAGTAAGAATATTGATCGGATACATTAATCAACTGACCATCAAAAAACCAGCGTTCGTTTCTGGCCACGGGACCGCCCCTCCTAAATATCACAATTTCTGTTTTGCTTAAATTTACTGTTAACTTCCATTCTTTAGTATAACTTTCTAAGATATTTAATTGATTTTGTAAACCGACCACAGTATCCGAAACTAAAATAACGTCGTCAGCAAAAAGGAGCATTAGGACTTCTACAAGATCTGGGTACATTTGGATTCCATGTTTTCCAGCTAAATTGATATCGTGATATAATTCACTAATGAAGAAGGAAAATAGGAGTGGACTTAAGCAGCAACCTTGTCTTAAACCAAGTGGGCAATCGAAAAAATCTGTAACCCCGTCTTTGCAACGCACACAAGATCGAACGTTAGAATACATTGATTTGAGAATGCTAACCATTTTCCCTCGTAAACCTGCCTTGCGTAAACACTGCCATAATTTAAAACGATTGACTGAGTCGAATGCCTTTTTAAAATCTACAAATGCTATGTACAACTTATGTTTTCTTTTTGATAGTGATTTTTGGACTAGTGCATACAGAGTAAATATATGATCAGTGGTAGAATATCCCTTTCTAAATCCTGCCTGGGATTCAGGAATCTTATCACGCATATTCGCCCAGTTTGATAGTCTATTGTTCAATATCAACGTAAATACTTTCCCCAAGATACTCATTAATGATATACCCCGATAATTATCTGGATCGTTTCTGTCGCCCTTTTTATGAAGTGGATTTATTATAGAGCTTGACCAACTGCAGGGAAAAATTCCATGTTCATACAGCTTATTGAAACATTTCGTAAGGAACGGCATAATTTCGAATTTAGAACACTTTATCATTTCTATTATGATAAAGTCAGGTCCAGCAGCCTTCCCATTTTTAAGATGATTTATCGCTTCTAGTATTTCCTGTTCGGCAATAGGACTGTCTAGTACAAGTTGATCTACTTCTGTATAATAGTCATTATTGGAATCTATAGTGTTAATTTCATCGTCGAATGTTGAGTCTAATATCTCACCGTTTGAAAATACATCTTTGAAATGATTTAACCATTGAGTTTTAGTTATGCTATTTCCGGACGTATTTCTTTTTTGTAAATGGCGGATACTTTTCCAAAATGCAGACGGGCTGTTTATAGATCTTTCTAACCTTTCTTGTCTGCGGATTCTCAAATCAAACTTATACTTTCGACAACAAGCTTTATACTTATTTCTACTTTCGCAATATTTCCGTCTATCATAATTACAACGAGTCACTCTGAATCTACGAAGATGTTTACGAGCATTACGTCGCGCATTTCTACAATCTGTATTTAGAGTATTTGTTCGGTCTTTGCGATTGACATTTTTGAGCATACAATTAGCTGAAGTCGATAACAGTTCCACAAAGTCATTTATGGCTCCATTTA